GCAACAATGAATGAATGGAATTCCAAAATCTCTGTAGATGTTCATTGAAATGAAAAAGAAAGAAATTAAAAAAAAAAGAATTACAGCCTAGGAAACCTTGTTCTTTAGGATCCTCTGAGCAGGAATATACTCTATAGTAAACAACATCATCAATATTAACCCAAATATAGTTAATATATAGGGAAGAATAAAAATAATGCTTAGTGAGCTTAAAGAAAGGGGGGAAGCAAAGCCTTTGAAAATAAACTTTTAGTTTTAAAAGATTAAAGTTTATTAGCAGTTTATAGGGATAAGGGAAGGATATTTGTCCATATCAATACTGCTGGTGGCTGTCAAATTGATTCTGATTCACAGTCACCCCACAGATACAATAGAACTGCTCCACAGGGTTTTTGTTGCTGTGATCTCCATAGAAGCAGACTGCCAGGTCTTTTCCCTTGGAGCCATGGGTGGGCTTGAACTGCCAATCTTTGAGTTAACACCAGAGAGTTTAAATGTTTTGCCAACAGAGCTCCTTCACATTTTCTCTCTTCACTGTTATTGCGAAACCATCCACTTTTGCAGAAGTCTTACTTTCACATGAGCCAAATTAAAAAGACAAAACAACCAACACCAGGAAAGTTCTATTTTCTGTTTGTCTGCATTTTTTTTTCTGGCTACAGCTGAAAGTTGACAATGGTGTTGGAATTACAGTTTTCCTTCTTCAGGGTGCCCGTGTGGCTTTGCTGACAGCCCACAGTTGCCTTAATCTTCCTTAAAGGTCAGTGTAAAGATAACACGTGAAGCCACATTAACCCCCAGGAGTAAAGAGGAAAGTGCATACATACCTCGTTCGTATTTTAACCGCTGATAAAGCTGAAACTGATCCGTTGGTACCAAGCAGGCGATCTGAAACCAGAGACATTAGAAAAAAGACATTTCAGTCATCATAATTTCTCTTTCTTTATTGTCTTATTAGATCTCTTTATGCTAGCATTTTGCAAACTTTTTTTCTCCTCCATGATGTTCTGATCCTACAGAAATAAAAAGCAATTCCCACATCATCCTCATTCTGCTACCACAGGCGAGAATCACTGCTCAAGACACCAGCCACAGAACTCCTGGCTCACCTTTCATTCTTTTCTCAGTGTCAACCCAGACCAGGGGAGAAAGGTTTTGATCTACTTCAAAAAACCAACAACTGAAAATCCTATGGAGCATAGTCTACACCGATACACACATACATCCCCTGGAGTAGGCATCAACTGAAAAAGCAACCCATCTGATTAGGTTTTTTGGTTACCAAGACCAGGCACTAAAATTTGATTATTTGCACTTCCCAAATTATTTGTAAACATTAACAGCTATAGTTTGCTTGGCTCCACATTCAACACTATTGGTACCAGTAACAAAGAAATGAAAAGACGAATTGCGTTGGGTATGTCTGCTGTCAGGGAGATCTCCAGAGTACTGAGGAGCAACAATGTCAGTCTGGAGACTAGGGGGCACCTGACCTTAGGCATGGTCCTTGCAATTATGTACTATGCATCAAAAAGCTGGACAATAACTAGAGATGACAGAAGGAGAATTGATGCCTTTGAGCAGTGGTGCTGAAGAAGACGGTTGAAAATACCATGGACTGCTAAGAAAACAAACAGGTTATCTTAGAGAGCGTGAAACTAAGCTGCTCCTTTCCTTAGAGGCAAGGATTCTGAAGTTTCATCTGACATACTTTGGGTACGTTGCAAGGAGGGACTAGTCTTTGGAGAGGGATATTATGCTTATGAGGGTGGAGAGACAATGCAAAACAGGAAGACCCTTGATGAGATAGATTGACACAGTGATGGGGTAATGGGAGTAGGTGTGTCAGAGACAGTAAGGTTGACTCCGGATAGAGCAGGTTTCAGAGATGTTGTACATAGGGTTTCTATGAGTTAGTTGCAGGTGACTTGACAGCACATAACAACAACAACAACAAATGAAAGTTGCTGCTCTCTATAAATTCCAGCTGCTCTGCACGAGAAAGATTTACTGCCTCTGAAAACCTATTGGAGGGTCAGTCCTGAGTCTGTTTTGACTTGATGATATATAACAATAAGCAATGTAAAAATCTTTTTTCCAGAGAAGAATCACTTCATGGTGTCCCAAAATCATGACTGTCATACTCTGTTTACTCATGTCCTGTTAGAAAAAAAAATGCCAAAATCATGTCTGGAGGCTAGAATGCTATTTCCATTACAGATAGAGACATGAACAAAACATTTACTCACAAAAAAACCCCCAGTTATTCATATCAAACTAAATGACATTTAAGAACCATAATTTTTAAACTGCTTTTCAAAAATCAAATGCAGGACAAACTAACTGCTCTTAAACTGATATTCTAAAAATATTTTAGTAATTCAATTGACGTCAAGATGTAAGTATATTAACGTTGCTGAAAGGTTTACAAGCTAAAAAAAAAAAATCAAAGGATTTGATATTTGGGTTTCAAACATTCAGCAAGCTGACAGAGAATATAGTCTTAGTTTGACAAATTCAACTCTCAAGGATAATTTTTTTAATAGAATATATCCAGGTAGAAGTTCTTATGACAAATGGAAGGAAATAGATGTCAGTTTTGAGAAAGCTAGAGCAAGAGAACATAAAGCCAAAATTTGTAGATAACAAATATGATGTTTAAAAATGTATGCAAAGTTTAGACCCACTCTTCGAACATAAACACATTCACTCAATGCTTTGCAAATGAATTAAACTAAGTTAGCTGTTACAAAACAGACAAATTTACTATTCCAAATACGTAAAGCATGGGTAAACAAATCTTTACATTTAAAAACTTTTTGCCCAGAATTTTCTTTCTCTAGCTGGGGGAAATAATTGCTTTTCCTTCCTTCCTTCCTTCCTTCCTCCCTCTTTCTTTCTTTCCTTCTTTCCTTCTTTCTTTCTTTCTTTCTTTCTTTCTTTCTTTCTTTCT